CTCACCGACAAGAGACATCCACATGAAGAAGTATCATGTACGAGTACGGTACGGTACCAGAAAGCACACGGACAGGATATAGCATGCAAGCCCCACCGCTATCTCCCAATCCCCCACCTCCCACCTTCTTTCTCCCCTCTCTGTCTTTGAGTTTTTTTTCCCACCTTCAGCTGGCCTTTCACAATAATCCTCAGCGTTGTTGTAAGATCACCCATTTATCACAAGTACGAGGGGGTATCGGTACCCAATGCACCGTAATACCATCATACGCACTCCATCGCATCCAATAGAGATGATATTATACCTGCAGCGCTGTATGTACCCCAGCATCACAGCCCGTGGCTTACCATAAGTCGAAAAACTAAAATCCTGCTCACTCCTGCAATTCGGCGCATAACTTGGCTTTGCCACTGGAGCAGACAACTATAGCACGTGAGAACGTGACTGTTGCACAGACCCACCAACCGAAACCCGACAAAGGGAGTCCGGCTCCTTCGTTCGGTAATTAATCGGGGACCATCAAACTGGTTGGTTGGTACTGTACTTGCACAATCCTCTCCCAGAGCGCAGAGTGCTCCCTTCTGCCGCACCCTACCTTATGATATGATACCGTACTCTTACTCGCCCGACTCAAAGTTTTTCAAAGTCTCTCGGAATGGGAAATGAACGAGTGATTCACTTATGGTATAATTGATAGCTTCACAGCGCTACGGTATTTTGCTGTAACCTAGGTCATGAGAGCTCGTAAAAACGTCGGGTACTCTACCTGCAACGCGATATCGAACCAGATCCACACCCCCCTCTCCATCCCAAATCAGAAACGTAAATAAAAGCACCGAGCTCGGGGCCCTTTCTTCCTCCTCCAATTCCCGATTCCCAAAAACTCGGTTCACGATTGATGGGGTGTGGGCTTTGTTCGCGTATTGTACCTGTATGAACTGGTGAAACGGTGCATGGATATCTGGAGGTCGGGATCTTCTCGGCTGTCTAACCAGTTGGAAGGGAGGAAGGAAGGAAGGAACGGCCGGGAGAGGATGGGAAAGGAACGGAACGGATAAGATGAAGGAAGCTAAGTTGATGAGCAAACAAGAAACAACTAAATTACCCAGCACGATGCTTGAATGGAGCTTGTGGGAAATCTAGTCCATATACTTGTACTCACCGCTTCCGTACCAATACGAATATCGTATTCGAGTACCGCATGATACCAATATCAGTATCGCACTGACCCTTCACCTCCTCCTCTTCCTTCACCCATTATTGCCACACCGCACCTCCATCCGAGATTCGCCACAGAACCTTCCCTCCCTTCCCCTTTCTCCCCAATTCATTTCCAGCTCCAGGGGCCCGGACTGACCAAACGACGGCGCAAATGGACGAAACAGACCGCCGGGATGTGATATGGTTGCCCCTCTGAAGAAGAAAAAAAAAAAAAAAAAAAAAAAAACCAAGACTAGAAACGGTTCAACAATACTGTACTCGTACAGTCTGCACCGTACGGTGCCCTGGTGAAACTGGGTGGTGACGAACAGGGGTGTTTTGTGGGCAAAAAGGGAAATGGTCAGAGTACGAGTACAGTACAGTACCGGTAGGGCAAATCATCCGCCCAGTTTTGCCGTGGGTACGGTGAAGGCTGTTAATTAACGATTTCCAAACATCGACGCTCATATCAACAAGAGAATCGATTGAAAAATGACCTTATGGTCTAATTTCTCGAAAATATAGTGTTCCAGTGGAGTAAAGGGAGGAGTTAATTTGTATGATATGGAGCAAATGGTTTCGAACACCATCAAAAGCTGTCAAGGCCAGAAAATCGCAATGCACTACGGTATCACAGTACAAGTACAAGTACTGTACTCGTACTTGTACCATACCGATTTTCACTTTCCTGCCCTCAGCTGGAGAACCAACCCATCCGGCCTCTGGAGAAGAATAAAGACCGAGAAAGTCGAATAACCAACAACCAGACGATCTTTTCAAAAACCTATAGTACGGTAATTAGGTGTGATGCTGTGCTCACAGCCGGCAAGAAGTACCCGATAACAGATTCGCAAAAAAAATAAAAGATAAAAAAGCCTTTCCGAATGTCCCATACAATACTCGAGCACAAGCTACCAATGGTACCGGTACTTCTTCTGCCCGCTACAATACGAGTGCTCATGGAGGCTGGAAGAGGAAAACAAGAACAAAAACAAATCTCCAACGTCGGTGTTGCGTGGTCCGGGTGGGCGGGTGGTTGGACTCGCGTACGATAGCGGAGGACGCGTTTGTGCCGATAAAAAAAAAAAAAGAAAGAAACAATACGGTACGAGTACTCGAGTCGAGGGACCTCCAAACAAACATCCCCCCCATCCAGCCTGTCAGGCACGGCATGGACGGTGCTGGAATAAACCACCACGGTAAGTTGGCTACAGTACGGGCACAATGCCGGTAGGTAAGCTCACATAATGGTAACATGCCACCAGTGCTATTTTCACGTGCCCTCACTCGCTTCGCCAACTTGCTTGCTATCGAATCTTACTGTACTCGAACACTCGACCAATCTGCACGAATCCTTAAAAGCCTGTGGAACTCTCGCCTAGTGGGTAGAGAGAATCCGGTCCCCGGAGTGGTCGGAACTGGGCCAACCAGACGGACTCGACAGAAGTATCCTTGAGACCTGTACGAGTTCTGAAGCCTGCTCCCCCCCCCCTTCCCAACCGGACCGGGCCCTACAGGACGTGAATGTGAAGAAGACAAGGGGGGGGGAAAAATGGAAAAAATCCACCAGGGCGAAGATCGGATATCGAAATCAGCCGTATTGGCAATAGAAAACCCCACACACACCTCCAAGTAAAACTCGAGTGATCTTACATGATCGATTTTCCAGCAATATCTCCTCGTTAACCGATACAGTACGGTACGTGTACTCGTACAACATGTCAGAGCACTGGTGGTGCCGTTAGTGGCGAGGAGAACACCACAACAAGAGAGCTTCTCCCGCCCGTTATACCCCACTCATTCGACCAAGGTTGTTTGTTTGTGTAGCTTCGCGTGCGCTCCGGGATCAACTTTACTTGTGCTCTTTCATATCCTAATTCATTGTTTCATTCCGCTCTGTCTTGTCTCCCGTTTGTGAGGGTGGGTATAATACTTGTGATATATATGCTTGTGTGTGGATGGGCCGAGATTCCCTTATCCCCTCGCGCAGTGAGGAGGGTCGAGTAGTGCCTGTTGGATGAAGACCTGCCGGATATGTTTGATACCCTTATGCGTTACAGAATACCGTTCGATAAGCTGGGGGGTGCGGGGGGGGGGGAGGTGTATAATAACGGTTGAGATTATTAAAATGTCAGTTTGGGAGGTTAGGTTGCTGTTAGGAGTGTGGAGATTGTTTTTTTGTTTGTTTGTTTATTTGGCGAGTGTGCTTGTGTTTCTGTTTGCATGGCATGCTGGGGGTTTGGTGGTTTGCGGTGTGTGATATTGCGGTTCGGGGGAGTGGCAGTGGAGGTATAGTAGGGGTAGTGCAATGCAAGGAGCGACGTTCTAGACACGGTGCCGACTCGGGAACCGTCAAGGAGCGGGTCGTGCCCGATTCCCGCTCCCATACGATACAGTAAACCCTCTCATAATTCTATATGGTGGTTGATTTATAAATGATTGAACAAGTAACCATACATTTATATATGAACCATGGAAAAGCTGATAAAAAAAATCAAACCTCCTCTGTTCAGGATCCCACAATGCATATTCCTACTCAGGAGTCGTGTGTTTACGAATAAATGATTTGAAAGGAACCCGAAAATAGGACAAGATAGTGGCCAGAACCATAGACTCATCCACAATTTTAGCCCTAATTTCTGGAATTATAGGAGGGTTGGAAGTTTGAGAGGTTGGAATTACGGGAGGGTTTACTTTAATATATCACCGTGGAACAGCAGGGAGAGGTCTATCCCGGACGAATGGGCAAACAAACTTCACCTCCCCGTTGCCGAGTATCTTATCATAATATAGTACCACATGGACGGCATAAATCTGGATAGAGACCCTCAATTTATCTTAGTGTAACTCGCCCGTGATAGTCGCACCAACCCGGGCTCCCCGAACTTTAGCCTTTTGCCATCCCGCCCGAGGAGTTCGTTGCCATCAGTAGCTATAGATCTCCGTCCGGTGCGAACCGCATCCCGGGAATTGACCATCTACCTAAAAGGAGAACTTGAATTGGTGTTTGCGGTTGCATGGGATACCAGTAGTTCACCATTCACAGAACCGCTGGCAGTTGATCGCCCCCATGACAAGTTCTCATCACGACCAAGAGTTTCTCTCCACCCTAGCTTAATATTTAGCACGGTACTAGTCAGGCCCCGCAATTCTAATGGGGCTTCGAGATGTCGTGTGGCTTCGGGTCCGGCGGGAAAGATAGCGAGTGCTATCAACTGACTGTTCATATCTGCGGGGTTGGGGGCCTCTTGGTGAGCGGGCTGAGTTCTTGCCTGGTTAATGAATGCAGCACATGGTAGAGTGGGTGATATTTCATGATCAAGTCTAATACTCATTCACACAATATTGCTTGAAAAATGCCGAGGATTGCTACATATATAAGGCCGATAATGATAAATTCTGAGCACACCATCCTACAAGGTTTCACCTTTCATGACCCGCGGGTTTTCGAGTGATTTTTTATGATTGTTTCCGCCGGGAGTGGTCGTTTCTGTACGATATGGTTCCTTCGTCATTTCCACCACCATGTGTCGGTGGAATTATAGGGCGCTTTATCGTCTTGTGTATCATGTACAACCGGTCGCCAAATCAGAGAACAACAAGTACATGTACTGTATGGGGCGATGGGAAACGGCGCTTTCTATCAGGCTCTCAGCCGACTCACAAAGCACATTGACCCTTTAACGCAACTGCGAGTGTGTGGAATGAATCAATGAAATAGTGGGTGAGCTGATGACTCCAATGGTATTGAAAGAGACTTTTGGATCCTATACATGAAATAAGACATGACAGGATTCAAGATTGAAGGAAGAAAAAAACAGGAGAAATAGCTAGAAAAAGCGTGTATTTGCCAGAAAATTTTTTGAAAACCTGAGAATGGGTAGGAAATTTCGATAGGAATCGCTAGTTGTTTCCTTGGATCATATTTAATAGTCGTTGTCACCAAGGTCAATGAGTCTATTATTGAAGGCCGTCTTGTTCTTGCCAGAGGTGGCAGTGGGGTACTCCAGGATGTTGCTCTCCTCAGCAGCCACCTCACCCCATTTAGCAGCCTTAGAAGTTGGAACCTTTGCGACTTTTGCCCAGCCAGACTTCTTCGAGCGCATCGTGGGGGTGGAAGAGTCAGAAATGTTCCTAGCAGTAGCGCTGGAATTCTTAGAATTCCCTGCTAACTGCCATTCATGCTCGTTCTCCTTCCTGTCAGTGACAGTCAAGGCCGCGAAATTGTCGAAGGCGGGCTGAGAGTCCTCCTTCGCAGCGGGCTTTGCGGCTGCAGTAGAAGGGCCTGGCCTCTTAAAAGTGGGTTTGGGGGGCGGTGTCGGGTTTTCCCAATCCTTTGGTCTGTTAGTAATGGCAGTAATCACGAGGAAGGGGAGTTATTTTACGTCGAAGTCCGAGCCAGGTTCACTGAAATAGGCAGAGCTCGCCTCATCAGAAATAATTCCAATATCTGGTTCGGTTTTGAGATCTTGATTGACACAGTCTATACACCTTGCCTGGTCTGGATTTTTCCTCTGACTCTTCGCAAACTTTTCCAAAGGCATTGTTTCAGAGCAAACACAGCAGGTAAGATTGGTGGTTTGTTGAGCGGTGCAATCCTTGCATGTGACTTTGACGCTCTTAGGGTCACGAACAACTAGTATTGTAAGAAGTTAGTTGGATGGTGCATGGGGTAATGGTGTCACAATTGGGGAAGAGGGAGAAAACCAACAAGCTTTATTGTAAACGGTAAATTTGCTTAATTGACGGCCTGCATATTCGCTCTGATGTTTCTTACTATGACAAACATTACAAATGATGGTGGCGGGGATCCTACTTCGTTAGCATTAGATTTGCGGAGCGAATTGATAGCAAATTGACAACAGGGAGAGACCAGTGATGGAGACTAGGATTATATGAGCTAGTGCATAAACAATAGGGACATACTTGTTGGATCCAGAAGAAGTTCCACGCTGATTGACTAAGTTCCGATTAATTTTCTTGTAGTTTTGATTCGGCATTTTGTGGCGCAGGGGAGGGGTAGGCGAGATTTAGTGGTTGTGGAGCGGGGGAAGTTCGGTCAAAGGGAGCGGGTGAGGGAGGAGTGGAGGATGGGGGAGGTTTGGTGAAGTGGAAAGGCAAAAGAAAAAAGGTATGATAAAGAGGCTGAAGGAGGAGGGAAGGGTGAGGGTTGCTATCTTTTGGTGGGGTTTGATTGGGAGACGCGCGGGTGGAGGCTCGGTAATTCTGGATGGGTCTGGGTTGCACCACGCGAGAGTCCCTTACACTGTATCGAGCGAAACCCTTTTTGTGAGGATATTTTGGCACCGATGAACTCTGGTACCGGTACCGGTATCATAACATTACTGACCGCACTATTTGAGTTACTCTACTTGAGTAACGCCTTTACTTGTGGATAGGGGAATACTTTGTGATTGTTACACTGGGGCTTCGAACCCCCATGCTAAGAATTGCCCATCCGGGACTAAGTTTATCGATGGAAACAATCTAATTGGGCAGAGATTCAGGCCCACTATGGCGAGTTGTATGATAGCCTGCAGCCATTTGTCCAGCCCCGCAGCAGGCAGATTCTGCAACCGCCAATCTATTGATCCGTCTTGGTGCGGGAACACTACCAGTACTGTAACAGTACTCGAGTAGACTACAAGTCTCGGGCTCAATGATGCCGGCGATGGCGAGGTTTAATAGTCAATCCATCCATCCATCCATACATCAATACGTTTTATATATTATTCATGACAAAATTATAATAATGCTATTCTCATACCCGTATTAAATGCCATTAATATCATCCACCATCGTTGCCCTGCTGAGAAAGAAAGAAAGAAGGCTGCTGATATTTACAGATGGAAGAAAACAAGGAAAAACACAGTTCCGAATCCTCCTAACCATTCCCCCAACCATCCCCCTGGCTTTAGGACATTTCCACCACTCGTCGTTGCTACACGGGGAGTGGGAGTGGGACCGCGACTGCGACTGCGACTGGGGTCTGTATCCAGGGGCCCTAAATCGGTCTGGGGATTTTCGTCCCCAGTGGGTGATGCGGGCTCGACGGTGGAGGTTGGTCTTGCTGAAATTGAGGTGAAAGGGTTCTCGAGAGTTGGGATGGTAGCGGCTCTTGTTGAAGACGGTCTTATACTTGACCCACTACTCAAGGTCCTCCGGCACAGCCCAGCGGCGTCATCGCAAGCGAATCCCAGTTCACAGCACCCGCCAGAAGGGCATTCGATCAATCCCGGATCACACGGCTTCCGGCAGAGCGTTGTCCCGGCGACACATCTCGTTCCGTCAGGACAGCAACCGGAGCCGTCCGCGCACATAAAAGTCCCAGGATCGCAAATGTTGGTGGGGGTATTTGAACCGCTTAGTCTCGCGCACCCCGGGGTTCCGGTAGAGTTTGAACACCTGTGCGTAGCAGTAGGACAGCACCCGCTAACACCTATGAGATTGGTACAATCCGTTTGTCCGGCAGGGCAAAAAGTAAACGACGAGTCGCAAAATTCGCCAATTGGACAGCACCACCCATTCACGGTATCCCCATTACAAGTGTAGCCTACAGGACAGCACCTTCCTGTGTTCAGACAAAGGAAGCTGTTGGCCGTAGGACACGAGCCTTGCCGCTTTCCGAGCCCGGGCACATTAGTGGCAGGAACAATTCCTGGGTAGAACTCTTCGAAATTGGGTTTGTCCATTGGCTGGAAGTCGGGTTGGAACTGGGGACCCAGGTCTGCTGCCAGTGATGGAACGACCGCGAGGGCTGCGAGGAAGCACAATTGCGCCAAGTTCTTCATCGTACTTTGTTATGACGGTAGTCTATCGAGGGTTGTCGGGGTCTTGGGATGGACTATGGTGGGAGGAGGGACGAGGCCGCAGAAGGGAGAACCTGCGGTATAAGTACTCGAGTACCACCTCGCCTCACGATGTACCCTGCGAGTAAAAAATCCGCGGACTTGACAAAATGGATTGATTTAATTTACAAGGGGATGATGTGTGGAACGCCAAGAGAGCCCTCGTATTTTGTGCTCCATTTTGGTGTGAACCTTGTGAATAGTGGCTGCACCGCCCTGTGGTACAGTACAAGGAGTGGAAGGCTAAAAAGCCTATCATCACGCGGTGGAATACCGGTATAACCGGGGGAGTGCTCTTTGCTGGCCAACGATTGCGGAGTAGAGTGGAGTTCACAATTTGCGATAGCAGTGTGATATCCTTCTCCATCCTCCCTTCCCGGATAGCAGATTGCGCTGTCGAATTAACGTCATGGTGTACTAGTACGTTTCAGATCGTAAAGATACCGCCTATATACCATACTCGTACCGTTCTTGGGGCCGGACAAACCGGCTGCCGTTACTGTACCGGTACTGTACTAGTACAATAACACGCCTCCAGGACCCACTGGGTTCACCCGGTCAGACTTTATCTAGAGCGGGATAGTTCTTCCATGGGTCGACTCGTATTGCTCTCAAGCGTGTCGCTCAGGATAATAAATTATATTGAAACCCAGCGCAACAGAGGAACCGGCATGGCATGTTATCCCAGACTACTCGAGTACCTCTACGAAGGATGATCGCTCTACGAATAGCCTACAGATGCTGGTACCTGTACTGTACTCGTACTGAGTACTCTATGGTTTCTCGAGCACAACAGCAACAGTATTAATTGTTGCACCATACCACACTTAGTGGTGGGGCGAACTCGGGATACCGGTAACAGGATAGCGAAAGCGCCTGGAAGGCTCGTGGGACGGCGAGTGAGCAGGTAACCCAGCCCGGTGTCGAACGTATGATAGGGCATTTTTCTCTTGCTCGGACTCGGATCAGGTGGAGAGTTAGTTGTCACTTAATTGCTTTTGTATGTGATACCGGTATCTTCGCTTAAGCAGTTTAAAGCTCGAAATACCGAATTATGTGATGGGTGTGCCGTAGGGTATCTTGTGGCTTTTCGAGCCCCGCCGCTACTGTGCTCGCACGAGTACTCGAGTACGGGTACCAATGGTAGCGAAAGAGTTAGGCTACCGGTACTCCACAACGTTTATCTCTCATTGGAAAGCCTCAAAATCTCGTGTGCTCGCGCCCAAGAGCAAACTGCCGGCATCACCCCTCAGTCCCTCAGAGCGCCCAAGAAATCGGTGCTCGAGTAGAATACTGGTAGGCAGCAGTTCGAAGCTCTAATCATTCATGAAGGGTGCTTCCCAGATCCAGTTGTCTTCTTAAGTAGGTCCCCTGGACGCAGCACCGTTACTCGAGTACCCTGGGCAGTCGTGAAGCGGGAGAAATTCTAACAGCTGCTAGCTATGCTTGGCCGGGAAGTCTTTTCACCACAGCTTAAATATTATGGTATGGCGTTTCCGAAACGGGCTTAGCGTGCTTGGCGATGAATTTTGCTGTTTCAAACCACCCAAATGATAACATTTGTGAATTTCGATTTAACAGCCTACTATCCCCGCAACCATGCATGTTAGACAAGAGATGATCCAATGTGCAGACAGCGGAGGTGCCATTTGAAATGAAGGGTGTTTGGTTGATCGATCACGCGTGAGCGCCTCGTTGGGGATATTGGCGGTGGGGTTCGGCCACGGGCTTGATGGTCGCTGTCGGCGCCGTTTACCGTACTTCTAGTCATCACGATTCACGATAACAGACTGACGGCGCCCCCCGTGCATAAACGAAGGCTGGTTGTTGGATTTCCGAAGACTTGGCGGTCGTGCCCGAGACAACATCAGAGAGGAGCAAGGGATACGTTTGACACGAAATTCCCCCCTCCCGACAGGACGACGCCCGTGGTTGGATTGGGATTGCCGTGCGAGTACTTTGGCCCGACTACTTCCTGTTTAGACTACGGGGGGTGTGCGAGTGGGTACTTTTCACAGACAGTACCGTACTGTTGGATACGGTAGTCGGATTGGAGTTGGCGGGCCTCTTGGGTGTAATGCCAGTTCTGCAGTGCTCGAATACTCTTTTGGTTTACCATACCCGTGTTAACTCACTCAATTAGACCTCACGCTCGTATGTTGGAATAAGGTGAGGCGTGAGGAAATTAATTGAGTTGGAAAAAAAAAGAATGGAAAATTAAATCGCTGTCTTGAAATACGAAAGGGACGCTTAGGCTCACAATTCCCAACCTCACACTAAGCCGAGCTGAGCCAAAATGTGCGAATAAACCAAGTAGCCCTTGTATTCCAATTGCGCTCCCAATTACACCAATCTCTCCTCCCGATTGCGACTAAACTGATATTGCAAGATAGATTGCGCAATCCCCTTGGCACGTCTCACGTTATTCTACTCGAATAACATAACTAGTGCGGGGTCTAATTGAGTGGGTTAATACGGGTAGGATGAGGCTTGGGCTCCCCTCTCGATTCTTTGCCAAGAGTTCTAGTTTCCGGTTTCTCACTGTCCCTTCTAGGTGGGACGCCATCGCTCTACGAGTTTTGTGGGGTGGATGGATGGTTGCTGCTAAATTGGATTCTGGAGGATTCTACGTTTGATGCTTGTGATCGTGAAGGCTTATCTTGCCACGGTACCGGTATATATATCAATCTTGTTATGATCTTCATCTCTTCCGGGGAAGTGGGCAGATGCGACGCAGATGAAAGAGCTAGCGGTTTTATGTGTATTCTGGTAACATTAACACTTGTGGTAGTTTACTAAACATGAATTTCTGCATGCCTTGTTGAAGGCGCTGGGCTCGATTGCTAGAATAAAGTTACCCCGACAGCAAAAGGTATGTATGGTACGATCCTTGGCGTAGCTAGCTGGTGGGCGGCCCACCGGTGCTCAGATACCGGTGCGCTATCGCATTGCTACTATTATGATAATATTATCAATATGACTTGCTGTGAGTTACCTGACCTGACTGGGTAGGTTCGTTGCTGTATGCGGAAACGCCTTCCGGGTGGGAGTTTTTGTTCCGCAGGGCTGTTCGGAGGTTATTGACTGGTGGTAGACTAACGGCAGGGCTTGGTCCGCTCGTGGGGAGGTGATCGTAGCGCTGCTAACATTACTATGAGCGCTCAGGCTATTTCCCGACAGCATAATTTCAGACAATCCCCGGCCCTTAGAACTGCACAGGCTCTTGCAGTGAAGCCGTCACCAGTGCAGAATTCTGTGGACAAGGCAAAACCAACGGTTTCCTTGGAGCGTGTTTTCAAGCCCTCGGCGTGGTTGATGTTCTACTATTAGATCGGTCAATAACATGGTAGTCTAACCTCCCCAAATGTTGGTTTCGCGTAAATGCCACTGAGTTAATTGGTATTTTTCAACTTTGGGAAATTCTACACTTTCACCACGGAGGGGGATGGTACTAACCTAGTTGGCGTTTCCAAAGACGCAGTTGTAGTGGCGAGGCTATGGTATCGACCGTCTCGGTCGATGTTTGCGACCATTTCTGTTTCGTTCGGCTCCGTTGAAGGGAGTCTGGAGGCCTTTTCAGGATCATTGTTAGGTGGGACAAGGTGCCTGTGAAAAGAGACTGATGTTCTAGTGGCTAAAGGACCGTTCGTAAATAATACCAAACGGAAGCTTGGGAGATCAACTCCCCATCCTGGTAGCGGATGTATCAAAGCAGGCATTAAAGAAAACTCCCACAAAATAAGTAAGCCCTGGCGAACCACCTTGTTTCTTCCCTGATATGATACCGTATCATACCCTGGTTTCCCTTATACCCCTGCAACTATTTCCTGCAGTTGGGGTTAGGGAGTTTTGTTTTTCGTTTTGCAGAAGTTAAATTGTAAAGGCAGCCCCTCCCCCCCGATTTAGGCCGGGACTTTTGCGAATCCTGAGAATCAGGATATCATACGTATGACACCTATTGGAAAACTAGAGGGAGGAGTGTGTATACTGCTAGGATGCATAGTTATTGACTTTAAGGTTTGATATGGATAACTGGCAAGGCCCCACTTGATTAAGATCGAGTGTCGGCGTTTGATCCTCTAGGTGTTGGTTGAATGTAGCGTTTCTGATCATTCAGGTGTTTCTCATGTAGATTTCCCTTCCTGTCCCCTTTCCCTGGTTGTCGTGCCTTCTCTCAAGTGGTGGGGGTCCGCTCTCGGGGGTGGGGCAAGAGAGGATAATGTTAGGTTGTGAAGGCGATCCAGTGACCTTGTTAGGTGGTGCGGCTTTTTTGGAGGACGGTATCATACATAATAGGCTTGAGATCTCAAGGGGGGTTGGAAGTGATTTTGCTCAATCTGTACCTAGCATTTCTAATTTGGGCCCCGCTCTCCAAAGCCTGCATGCTTCATGAGCGCCTGGTGGCCTCGGGAGTCTTCCGGCATATGCTTTGTAGTAGGTATATGGTTTGCCGATGGCTACCCTTGGATGCCCGGAAATGTCCTCAAATGTTCACGGATATCTACAGATATCTTCTAGTGAGTTGAAATGACCTAATGTATCTTCTGCTGATTCCTGCCTGGGACGAGGGGGGAGAATGGAAATACTCCGATAGGCTTAAACCGTTGAAAGTAGTGTGGGTGGTCGCCGGGAAAATTTTATATCTAAAATGTAGGTGAATCACTCGCCACACCTACGGCTACTGATGGGGTGCCGGGATATCTTTCCCAACGCTGTAGTGCCATTACAAACTTCCGACTCCTCATACTTTCCCCCGTTGCTTCTCCACTGCATGGTCCTCCGAGCACATTTGATCCTGATAATTCTCCCTTGCAAGACTGTTCCTTCGTTCTTTGATCCTTGTTATCGGGTTGGATACGGCTATTCGGGTGGGAGTATAAGTGTGCATTCCGGATTACCACTGAGGTGTGTGCCCAGCGCTCGTTTGGTGCCCACGGCTGTAGGCACTGGGGGTGGAGATAACATACCATGCTATCTATAGTATACCTTGTGTGCGAAATCCTGGCAATCATGTTCGATCACTCGTAGGCTAGTATATTATCTCAGGTCTCGCCACTCATGAACTCGTGTGG